TAAATCCCACAGACCCCAAAATATCCCGTTTTAGACTAAATTACCGCGATTCTAGGCAATAAAATTCCACATCAAAAATATATCCTGATACAGTGTTTGAGAAAAACTCCCTCTTTGTCATCCACTCCTACCACTGCAGCTGGTTGTCCGGTCACCGAAACGTCATTGTTGACAGTGGCAGACGCCATCATGTGTGACAATGCAGTGTTGTTCCATTGCCACAGTAACGCTTGGTGTGACAAACTTACCTCACAGTCATGCCTGTGTGTGATGATGCAAGCCAAACATGTGACAAATCAGAGAAGATAAATCCGAAGAGTGAAATATTTTTCTTGGGTATTTATTATATTGAGGAACGCGTACTAGCATTGTAGGAAGTAGGATACACACCTCTGTCCTTGAGGCACGGTCGGCACGGATTCGATTCCCGCTTATCAATATTTTTAGCTCAACAATCCTAGAAAACAAAAACGGATAGGTGCTTCAGGCAAGACGAACTTTCTCTATGTTGGATGACTCTCTAAATCAGATGCAATACGATAATTATGAAGGGAAACTGATAGCTAACGATTGTTTTTAAATATCGATTGTGTTCAGTTCACCCATGATTGCAATCAAAATGAAAACACAATTTTCAAGTTCTAGAGCGTTTGCGGGCTTTCAGCTGTTTTTGACATGACGCGACGGTTTCATTTTGAATGACGGAAAAGCAATAAGGCATTCCAATGTGGCGCAGTGAATATATTGAATTGACTATTGTCTACCTCCCACCGTCGTTCAAAGAGATAAGAAGAGACTGAATATAACTAAGTTAATAAAACTATAGAGCATAGCTATTAGTAGTGTGGACTTATAAACAATTAATAATTGTTATCCAGTACATGACAAGATTGTGGCTAAAATGAAGTATGAAGACATTTGGTCGTTTTTTTTAGTAATATAAAGTTAAAGCACAGATTAATAACATCACTATATAACTTTAGTTATTGTCAATCTAAACTGAGTGTTATTACCATATCTTCGTATACAATTTGTAGTATGATTTCCAAATGTTTTCGAAGCTACAACGATTAAACAACATACCCCTAAGTGTAGCTGCAGTGCTTCCAACGATATTCACGAAGTGGTTGCGTATTTTTGAAGCTGCATAATCGACAGATATAAGTGAGTGTAAGTGTAGCTGTCAAACATAGCCCACCTCTGTGTCAACCAGAGAGCACAGAATAGAAATTTCTATTCTGTGCTCTCTGGTGTCAACGCACAAAACGTAGCACACTTGATTCACACAATACTTGATTGACACTTGATTCACAAAATGTGATTCAAGTTTACCACAAAGATTTATTTATCGTAAAGCAATAAATTATGATAAAAGATTGACATATAAGTCGTGTTTTTTAACATTAGAATTGTTCTAAAAGTAGGGTGTCGTATTGAATTATCGCAATGACTAACGGGTTACCCCACAACGAAGTGATAGACGTTTACTTGGAAATAATAGTTTACCACCAAAAGAATCATGACTGATATAATATGCTATAGATTTTTTCCCCAAAGTAGCGCCATATTGAGTTATTGCTGCGACTAACGTGTTACATAAAATTATGATTTTGATAACAAATGCAATGTGTTGCGAAAGTGGCGTCGTATTGATTGCCGCAGTGTGTTTACACTGGCGTGGCGTGATTGTTCAGTTTCAACGCTGCTATGTTGGTAGCTCAGGAGGTGTGACAGGGGTGGCAGCGCTGCTTCCACAATCAATACGGGCCTACCCAAACATCCTGGTGATAACGCTACTTTCTCCCCACCACCACCTCACACCACGAGTGGCTAACCCAACCCATTCAGAGAATAGATTGCCTAAGTGGGTACGTGGAAAATGGAGATAACGCGTTTTGTTTTTGTGTCGAATTATGATTAGTTTTAGCAAATGAAATTAATAGAACTACGTACAGTAACATCAATACAGTACTACAGTTAGTAGTTTAAATCGACATTTTGGATTTGGATTCCTCTAGCAGATTTTCCCCTAGTCCCCTTCATCAGTCCAGTTGGTCATTTCATAATGGTGGGGTTGACCAGTTTGAACTTCACTTAATCGGTTGAAGTAGTGGGACGAGAAGTGTTAAAAAAAATTGAAATGTTTTCACAAAACATAGTACGTAACGATTTTCTACATCACACAAGAAAAATTCCACTCCATAGTTCCATGTTCCATTTTCATAGTTTATATTCATACCGTCTTACTTATTACTCCCCCCCATTTGACCTAATCACTTCACCAAGACAGCGATGTACTGATGTACTTTGTTCATGCATTCCATACTGATATAAATACATGAGCGTAGAATAGAATGATCATTTTAACTGTGTTACTAAGATCAGCTGGTTTATTTAGCCAAGACCAATAAGTCCAATAATCTATTACAGTTGGGTCCAGTATCAAACCATGAACCTCTAATATTGTTTTTCTCGGGAACCAACGACCTTTTGATTGTTCGGCGAACACCCCAGCTCAGCACAGCCTTTTTTATTAAACGTATTAACATTTACTAAAAGTTATGGAGGCACTTTCGAAATAGTATCCCCAACTACCAGCAGCTAAAATATCCCTCAAGGGTTACCCTTTGTGTACATAGTACAATACATGCTCAACGCTTGCTGTAAACGGACCAATCCCCATTGCCATGGAATGTATGGGAATGTTGCCCCTTTGCAAGGTCAGCTTGTCTGGACGTTGCCATTCTCTCTCTCTCTCCCTCCCCCCTCTGACCCCAGAGGCTCTGTTTACGTCTCCAGGTGGAGGTGACGCCGCGCCGGCGCGTCTTCTCCTTCTCGCAATGTTCGGCTGGTTCGCTCACATTCCGTCACAACAGCTGTTCATCTCCCCCCACCACACACGAGCGCCATCTTCATTTCCTTTCTTGTCCCGACTTTCGTAAACAAAGAGAATGGATCGGGACGCTTTGTCCCCCCCACTCAAAACACGGTGGAATGTGACGTTTGAAATTTTCTTGGATGAGAAATTAGATTTACCTGTTTGTCTCGTTTGTAGACTTAGGACCTAAATGTGAATATTGTTTTAGGTTTGAGTAAAAGTAGCCCTGGAGGGTGAAAAGGAACTCCCCCTACATCCGTCTCCTAACAAATTAATTGTTTTGGGTCATGTAAATGGCGTTCTTATTGGCATTGACTTTGATAACAAATTCAAACTCATATGAAATTGGGCTTATATAATTTTTGTTACTGTAATCATCGGTTGTTCCCCTTTTGGTAAGCGCTAAAACAAAATTAATCACGGGCCTTCTCCTGTTTCTGTTCGGCCCTTTTCTTCTATCTTCCCAACAATCCGAACCTCCACACGATTACGCTTACCCTTCTGTCCTTCAAAGTAAATATGATCATTGGGGAAATAGTTTTGCGAGAGAGGGTGTGAAGAGAGGGGATTTCGAGTAGGAGGATTTGCCCACGCCAAGACCAGGACCAACGGAATAAATAAACTACCGTACACAGCGAGAGCAAAATTATATTGGTTACAGAAAAATGCCTCAATGTTTATTTGCTGGCCATGGAATGTTGCCCAACTAACAATTGAATTAATTTTAGTTGGTTTAATGGCATTTGCATTGTTTATTTGTTTTAGAGTGGAGTGAATTCTGACAGTGGCCTTTCTTCCACTGAAGCTGTGTTCGATGGAATCAGCGAGTAAGTGAACGACTGAAGTTATATTTCAAGTAAAAAGTGAAATGAAATGAAAAACGTTTCTAAATCACTAGCTGTACCCGCGGGCTTTGCCCCGGGCGTTCAACTTCACAAGTGAGCTCGTTCGCATGGCTCAATCACGTCCTGGTTGATGTTCGTTCGCTACGCTCACTCACCTTTAGGTTGGAGCTCGTTCGCTCCGCTCTAAAATAAAACAGAGAGTAGTTATATAACATTTTATTGGTTGAAATGTTTTGTTCTTATGGGAAGTCCTACATCTACATGGGAAGGTGTCTGTGCGTAAGCCAACTTAAAATTAAAACTCAGAAAAAAATTAAAGTTAACTTAACTTATTTATAAAAATTATTATAATAAAAATAACAAGTTAAAGTTTGTCGTAGTAATGTAAATAAATCACTTAAACGAACATAAAAACTAAAGGCGTACCATTTGCTTTACAATAAATACATTTTTCTGACCAGTTAAAAAAACTACGTACTTGTTTGAATAAGACTACTTAGGCTTAACAAAGCCCGGCTTTGTTAGGTTCAAAGTTGAGGTTGTGAACAGCTTCTGTCATATTTATAAGACTAGGTTTCTGATGTAAATACATTTTTTGTTGCAGGTTCAAGGTCGATAATGAAATTCTCTATCCAGAAATTTCAGAGTGGTAAGTCGTATAAATTTACTAGTGGCAAAGGTGTCTAGAGTTTTCGTGGGTTATCTTATAAAAAGTAAATACCACTGATTGACAGATGGTCATTATATCTCGAAACATATGCGACCTAGAATTATCAAATTTGATATAGCCTAGAGGGTGCCTTATGGGGTAGGCCTACCTAGATGTGCAAAAAGACGGTGATTTACAAGTTCTCAAACGGATTTCTAGTAAAATCAGTTTAAAGTCAAATCATGAAAATAGACTTTTCCTCATGTTTGAGCTAAATTCGCCAGTCATGCCCTTTACTATGGGGTTATGGGTTACTGAACAGAAAAATACACATATTTTTACAGGATGAAAAGTATACTTTCAGTAAAAGATTAAAGTAAATGGCAATTTATGAATCGTGGTGGACAAAAGAAATTAGAATTTTACACTAGGCATACACGTATAATGTTTAATGTTATTGCTGCAGACAAGTTTGTTTCTCTAGTCTCTATGCTCTGGCTTTCGAATGACATGTCAAATCAGCTGACATAAAATCAGCTGACAAGTACAAAAAGAGCAGACTCGCTCTACGAAGTCAAGTCATTCCGATTCCATTACACTCCCCAGTCCCCATTCTATCAAGCTAGCAGACAGCTTTGGCTTTATCTTCCTTTCGTAGGAAAAGGCTAATACCAGTACCAGTTTGTATTACGTAATTTTAGGTTAAGTGCGCAGTGAAGAAGTTATAGTGCAATTGAGTATGAGTTTAATAATGATCAGATTATCAGTGTTTTACAAAAACAAACTATGACCCGGAAAAGTGTACTAAGTTCAGTATGATCGCCTGTGCAATAATTTCTCCATTTAGTGTCATTTAAGTGATAGCCTACAACATGTCAAGAGCTTTGATTCATAGTTTTGTATTTCCCAAGTATTGTGCTTTCTTATTGAGCAAAACTAATATTCACAGAGCACCAGCTTTGTTAATCCAGTCAGTATCAAAATCTTCTCGATCAGGCGGAGAACTAGGGCAAACCATAATTCTTCTCGAGGATGGCTTCAACATCAGGGAATTGCCTGTTATCGTTAGGAAAGTGTCTAGCAACTCCACACTTTTCTGTAAAAATAAGCAAGAAAGCAATGTTAAAGACCTTATAAAACCAGAAATATGTGTATCTGCTAAAGATGATTCAGAATCCAAAGAAATTATAGATTACTTCAACAAGTGTTACACGGCAAGAGGAATATTTGCAATTCTCGAAACCATCCCCACAAATGAAGTTACACCAGAAGTAGCTCTGTATGCTCTGAAGAGGATTGTTACTCTAGAAAACAACAAAACCATAAGAAATTCATCACTTGGAGAAGTTTATCATCATCTTGACAAAGAAACTACTTCGTCAAATGAAGGCTTACATGAAAACGAGACATTCACTCGCACAGCGGTACTTACCCAGCTGGTTGATAAAATACTTTCCAGTACAGATACTGATATTTTGCTGAGTGGATACATCATTGTCAATCGAGATATTATTGGTAAATATATCCAGCAAGATATAAAAGATAGATTTGTCAATGAAATTTTGTGTAGAGTCACTGATGGTAAGTTTAGCATTGAACAAACATGTGAAGCCATTAAAATATTTAGTGACATCGCCCCTAAATGTAAACAAACCACTGAGAAATTGTGGGTCGGTATAAGTGAAAAAGCTAGTAATATTGACCAAAGTAATGTCATGGATGTGGTGCGTTCCATTCCATATTTATATCATAGTAGAAAACTAGTTCTTTCAGTCATTGAAAAGAAGTTGTTGGATTTTTGGCACACATTAAACGGATACAACGTTTCAGAAATTCTTGTAATCCTAAAACAGATAAATAGCAATTCTCCTCGGATCTTAGGAATTTTAGGACAGTGGGTCAATAAAAATCTCCACACTGCATCAGAGGATGATCTCATTGAAATCATAAATGGATTTTGCTCTGTCGACTATAATAGTCTTGGAATCGAGCACGCTCTAGAGCGGTATGTCAAAGCAAAGGGTGTATCAATAAAAAATCCTCTACTAATGGCCAGTATAATGGACTACTGTGGAAAGTTCCGGGTCAGGTCACCTCTACTAATGCAAGGTTCAGCAGAATACTTGGTCGCACATGGGAAATCACTGACTCCTGTTCTACTACAAAGGTTGTTTTTACCACTGGGAAAACTAAATTATCATCCCTCAAATGGCCAAAGTTTTTGGAAAACCTTAGAGACCGTGCTGGAAGAGAAATTCATCCAGTTTCGTCCAGAAGAAGCTATTGATATGCTTTTACATTGCGTTTATCTCCAGAAACATCCCTTAAACTTTGTTAAGAAGGTGTTCAATCCGTATTTCCTAGATAGGCTGCACTCTTACAAAAACAAAGATGTGGTTTCTCTGGCCAGATTGAAACTGCAGTTGTTGGACATTGCTATGACGCTGGAAAGTTCTCAGTATCAGGGACCTATCCTTCCAAAACCGATGAGCTCGCCTCCGATTTGGCAGGATGGAAGAGTCAAACGGATGGCCAACAGTATTCGTAATTATCTGAGTAACATTGCAGGAGGTCAAGACAAAGTCGTTTACAATCTCATACCAGCTAAAATGCCTTCAGCGGACATTTATGTTATAGATGCTCTCATTTTAAGTAACAATACAATGTTCAAAATGTTTCCAATTAATTTTGAAAGAGATTACAACATGCACACAGCTGTTATCATTCACACGCCAGAACACTACTGTAGTAAAGGAAAGCACCTCGTAGGTCAGCAAGAGATGAGGAAACGTCATCTCCGTCATCTTGGACTGAAAGTGGTTACCTTGGAAGTTACTAGCATTGCTCAACTCAGGGTTCATACAAAAGCCTTGCTGGAGTATCTTGAAGAAAGGTTTTCTCTTGCTGAATCGCCATTTCCCAAAACAAAAACATTATAGTATAGGGGAAATCCTATAGGCTTACACTACTTACACTAAAGCCTACTTAGTTAGTATTCTTAAAGTATTTTGCGATTTCTTAATTAGTGAGACGTGTCTTTCATTAAAGTTGGTATTAGTCAAATAATATTTTTATATCAAAGAAATGGACTTAATGTTTTGCAAGAATCAGCAAGTTCGGATAATTGTAGATAAAAAATTTTTTCTTGTAGGCAAAAGAAAATGACTTAAGCCTATTTCAGAAATATAATAACTTTGCCTTTTCTATTCTGCTTGATATTGATTGTAACAAGGCTACCTATTTGATAAAAGAAGACTTAAGATAAAAAAAAGCTTACACAAAGTGGAATTCAAAGGAAATAGGCAATGCACAATGTCATTTAACTGTGATCATCAAAGTTACGCTGCATCATTTGGACGTAAGTTCTTCATAATGTTTTAAAATAGGCTAAGTTAGTCCAATTAAATTTTCTGGATTCTAATGTTTATAAGTCATAAGTATTTTATTGCATAAAACATTCTTCATTACAAAGGCAATGGTGAACAGATGCATGGTCAATCAATAAGTTATAAAAACTAAAAGTAATAAGTTACAACAAAATACAACAAGAACAGCACAATTGAGAGATAGTTACCAATTCAGACAAGTTAGAAAAAAGACAGATTTAAATAAAGATCTTGAAGCAATATCAGAGAAAAAAACAATTAAAAACATTCTGTGTCATATTTTACATAAACTAATGGTCAATTAATGTCACGGTCATTTAGGAAATCTGCCAGGAAGTAATATGATTTCTCCACCAATAATGATTTAGTCCAAATTTTAAATTTTTGTGGTGTAGCCTACAGGATTTTATTTTTGAGGGGATCTTATTATATAGACAAATCCCCATATAGATGGGGTTTTTTTCAAAATGAGAGTGTTTATGAATTGGATAATTTAGCAGATTTGGGTTTCGGGTATTATAACTATGAGTGGGTCTAAATTCATCAAAAAGTGTATTATTTAAATTAACAAAATTTACTGTTTCATGGATGTACAAAGAAGTCAATGGCATTATTTTTAATTCCTTAAAAGAACGACGACAGCTTGATCCATATTCTGCCCCTATCATCACTCTAATAATACTTTAATTTGGTCGTTTAATTTGATGTAAATATAACGGTTTCCGCCTTCAAATATAATTCCTACAGGTACAGATTTAGTATTTAAACCATCAATTGGAGAATTTTTTTGAATTTAAGGTTGAATTTTGTTTCTAAAAGCGAGGCTACTTTTAACTGAATGCATTCAAATCAATAACCAATAAGACAATACAAAATTCTGTAACTATAATTTAACCTCACTGTGCTGTAGAGTATTTGCATCATTATATTACCTAAGCACCGGGTGAAGTACTTTCTATAGGTTAACAGCATCGTACACCTAGGGCGCTTGGACGTTTAAGGGTGTTTGGGCTCAAGAGAACTCTGGCAATGAGTTCATTCAGTCGTTTCCTAAGTGTCAGTGCATGCCCCCACGGTTAAACCACGGTGATTAATGCCACAATGTAGTGGGGCCCAGCCTAACTGGCCACAAATTATAAAAGGTACAAACCTACTGGTCAAAGGAAAAAAAGTATTAACTCCAACTTGGGAAAATTGCAAAAATTTAATTAGCCTAAGTATTGTTACTTACCTTCAGAAAAAAATACTGCATTAACTGTTTAACACAATTAATTAGGCTAACTAAAATAATAAGCGTAACTTAAAAATTTTAATTTTACTTTAAAGTGACAAGTCTATTATTATTTTTTAAACTTTCAGGATGAAATTATAATATCATCTTTTTAAGCATAATGTAGGCTATAAGATAGGCCTATAGCTTAGTTGCAAACTTTTCTCGAGCCTGTGGTTCAGCCTCTAGGTTTGTACCAACATTTTATAAAATTACTATTTGAAGCCTGGAAGTCCCACAATATTTGTCAGGATAATTAAACAGCCTAAAATTTTAAATTGGTTAATTTAAAATCCTTGATTATTGATGGGCTTTGATGGTCCCTGGCTAGTAAAAAATAGTTTTGATTAAAATAAAATACACACTCAGTTAGCGCCCCCTTCTCAATAATTAATAATAATAATAAAATTCTAATTTAATACGTAGGCTAATCCAATTACATTAAAATTTATAAAATAATCTTTTAACCTGACACCCTTAAATTTTCAAACAGCGAAGTAAGTCTCAAATCAGTTCTCTTCCTTATATGCCCTAACATTAGTGTAAAATCAGCCAAAAACTGAAAATATCTGTCAAGCATTAGTTATATTTTTGTCAATGGGTTTTCAGCCGAGTGATCAAGACACCGTTGGAGCTAGATGTTCTTCGCTATGTCAACAAAGTTTCGTCCGACGCCCACAAATTAGTGATGAGAAACATGAAACCGGGAATGTACGAGTACCAAGGCGAGGCCATCTTCCAGCACTACTGTTACTACACTGGCGGGTAAATAGTTACAGCATATGTAGCCTATAGCAGGGTGTTGCTTAGTTTGTTAGGGCAGTCGCGCACTTGCCTGATCACAACAATAAATTAATACCAACAGAGTTTCAGTGTAAAGTTGGATGTTGAATTAGCTGCCTCTATAGTGCATTTTATCCGTACTTTATGCGGAAGAAAAACTATACTGGGAGCATCCGATGTCAACTGTACTCCCAAGCTGCCTTCTTCGTCCACTCTTTTGGCATAATCTTTTGATGGACCTTGCTTTAATATCCACTAGAGGTCGTCCAGTGGTCGAAAACTCGATCAAAAATATGTACTGTACAGACTACTCCTTTTTCACCCCACGCTTAAATAAAAAATATTACAGTATTCAAATTTCTTTAATTTGTTTTGATTTTCTGTTTAAGTGGTCGTCAAGTGGTTGAAAACTCGACCAAAAATATGTAAAGTACACACATTGACAATTGGATACTGAAGTAGACATCTAGACCTGTATGAACCAGCTGTAGCCATTATTTTATAAAAAAACATAGTTGTGTGAGCCATTTACAGAATGTGTGACTAAAATTCTATTTTCTACCTTATTTTTTGTTTCTGACAAAGTTGATGGCTCATCATGACAGCTGCTATAGCACATAATAAGTTATTCCAAAAGTTTGACTTGGTAAAAATATTGTGTATTCGACAGAAATTAGTCTATTAGATCAGCGCAATCTGTTGGTGGCTCACATCAACTACAACGAATTTAATTTAAAAACAGGCGACAACTTAAACATGGGGATGGAATGTCTAGTTGTAAGTCAAAGGTACAGGCTTCTCTATTTTCACCCCACGCTGTAAATAAAACATGTGATTGTAATTTATTATATTTGTTTTGATTTTCTTTTTATATTTCGCTGTTATTACGGCTGTAGAACGATCGGCACACATTTTTAGCCGATTTGGAATAGCACGACTGGCACAATCATTAGAGGGGATTAAGAAGGGTCAACCTGTAAGGTTCGGAAAGGCAAGATTGGCACATCAGACCGGTAAAGAAGTAGAAGCCAGGTAGCCAGAATGCGGGAAAATGGAAATTGTTTTGTCCCCACTAATTCCTTGCTTTGGTGCTTATTGGAGTAATCTAGGTATAAGTTTGCGCGACAAATCTGCAGCTACGGTCACTGCTCTAGCTGGATCCAAATAAAACTACACTAACCTAACCTAACTTAACCTAACCTAACCTATCCTAACTTAACAAAACCTAACTTAACCTTTTAAAAATACGCGATATTACTGCAAATGACTGTGGTAACAAGTTGACGGGGAATTTTAAACTTCCCGTTTTCCCTCGTTCGATGGTGTCTACCTGGTCGAGCGGTTGTGCCAATCGTGCCTTTTCCAATCAGGCGAGTTGACCCTATTATTCCGCTCAAGTGATTGTGCCAATACTGCCATGGGCAGAAGATCCAAAAATTTGTGCCAATTGTCCCGTTCCGTTATTACGCCGCCAGCATGGCAACCCATAAAGCCCATATTCATTTTTCTTACTTTCAAATTCATTTTATGTGCTTACATTTGAGCCTATTTTAATTTTTAAAGGGATTCTGCACATCTACAGGAAAATTCCTTTTTAACAGTATGCGTATATTTTCCCTGTGATGCACATGAGCTGAGAAAAAAAGGTTTTAAAGAAACATGCTTGCCTATTAATATATAGATAATAAAACCCATAATAATATCCATAATGAAGTGTAATGGGCCAAATAATGATTGTAAATGTGTTTTTCCAAATTTAAAACCTTAAATTAAACAAATAACAAACAGTTGTTCAAACTAGGCTAGTTAGCTGGTACATAATCAATCTTACAGTTTCCTCTCTGTCTGTGACAGGTGTAGGGACGTTGGCTACACTTGTATCTGTACCTCGGGCCACAACAACTCTGTGCTTCACTACGGCCACGCAGGCGCTCCCAACAACAAGCAGATCAGGGAAGGAGACATGCTGCTGTTTGACATGGGTGGCAAGTACTGCGGCTATGTGGCGGATATCACTGTTACATTCCCAGTCAGTGGCAAGTTTACCGAGCTGCAGCGTGCTGTATACAACGCTGTGTTGGCAGCCAGGGATGCAGTGTTGGATGCCGTCAAACCAGGTGGGGATGAGAACCTTTTTGTGAAAGAGCGAGCTGGTCTAGTTGTAAAGTGCGAGAATCCAGGCCAGAGTTTCTAGGTTCAAATCCTGCTAATCACCAATGGGGTTTTAACCAAATGTTAAATAACCTCCAGACCTAGCTTTAAGTAATGTGGTCAGCGAACCGGTCGCCATAGAACTGCGTAGCAGGTTGGAGGCTGCCACCGTGCTTTACAGCTACTCAACTTGTAACAGGGGCTATTGTAATAAACTGGTGCCCTTTATGTTAGGTAGCTGCGATCTAGATCTCGGTAGTCACGTGAAACTTGTTTTGTCGTCTGACAAGCAAGTCTTGCTGTAAATTTTTTACGCGTAAGTGATGATGTATTATTGGTTTACTTAGATGAAATGTCATAATATGTAAAGCCGTCAACACTATGGAGCAAGTTTTCTATGATTAAAAGCACGATAACAGTAAAGCATGATGTAAACAATTTGTTAAATGTACGGAATTTTTAAAGAGACAAAATGTTGGCTTTGTACCTAAAAAATCTAATGTATTATCTGCTAGCCAGATAACACAGTTCATGATAGAAGCACCCAATGAATCTTGATTGTTGACTAAGGTTATTACTTCCCTAGGAATTTTCGGTGCCTGCCGCTGTAATGACATTATTAATCTGACCATTTACGATGTCAAAGACCATGTATACTACTATGTAGTATCGCTGAAAGACAGCAAAACTCACAAAAGTCGAAGGTTTGTAATAAGCAATGAAGGCTGTCCATTTGACCCATGTGGCTTAATACGTGAGTATTTAGCCTTGCCTTCAAAACAAATAAATACCACCAGGCTGCTTGTTGGGTATAGGAAAGGCAAGTGTTTTACACAAAACGTTGGAAAAAACACTGTAAGCGACGTCGGCGTGTCAAAATTGGTTGCCCAGTACCTTAAACTTAAAAAACCTGATAGCAACCATGCTCTAAGACGATCATCGGCCACGATGTTAGTTGAAGGAGGTGACGACCTACTATCTCTAAAGCGTCATGGAGGACGACGTTCCTCTGGTGTGGCTGAGGGATACGTTGAAGACTCCCTAGCAGCAAAGTCTAAAGTTTCACAAAAACTGTTTGGTAACATAAAATCCAAACCTCACACCGTCACTTCATCCCAACATACAATCCAACATGAAGATGCCGTTGTAAGTCAAGATTACTTTGGAGTAGATGATATTTTCGACCATGATAATGAAATTGAACAGTTAAGTGATTCAACAGTTTCCCGATCCAACACCAATCACATTGAGACGGTTTTCAGTCAAAATACCGTGAACCATGCGTATATCTAAGGAAATCTGCTCAACAACAAGGAATGTACATTTCCAATAATCAAAATTGTACCATAAACATTACATTTAAGTGAGCTTTTATCTATAGGTCACACTTCACATAGTAAAAAAATATCTATAGGTCATGTTAAATATCGTTTTCTTAAAATCGTACTTCTTAAAATCATCATTATTTTTTTATGTTATGTTACTTTATAAAGTTACGCTATTCTTGAATGCCGTGTTCCACTGGTTCTGTAAATAAAAATGTATCAATAAATGTTTTGTTATAAGATTGATTACGTTATTTTGTAACCAGGATATTAGGCCTAGTATTTTTTTCAATTTACAAATTATGTCACTGGATCGAAATTAAGCATGTTTTTACTATTAATGAAACTGTCCAAGCCATGAGTTAATGTTATTAATATATGATTCCAGTCAGTTACATCATTTGTTTATGTTTATGGTCCATACCGTTTCTGTTCTAATATTCGTGATTACAATTAACAATTCAAAGTACCCGGTTGATATATAATCGATGTATCAATAGTTTGACATGTCTGTAGTTCGAAATATCGCTAGTATAATGTACCATAACACAATCGTAATAGACGATGTGAATGAATAACTTTATAAACAGCTGCTTATTTACAATTTCAAAATTGAAAACAAGATGGAAGTAGGTTTGGAGGGTTATGTTTAAATGAAAAGTATTTTTGTTTTGTAACTTAGTTTACTTTAAAAATGGGGGCAGTATGACGAAAAATATAGTTCATCACACGGACAAAAGTATGTTTCAAAGCCTCGCACATTTTCTGACCGAGGCAAAGCCGAGGTCGTTAAACTTGTGCTGGGGTCGAAAAAGGCTACCTTAAGCCCTAGTGATGAAATATACTAAACTAAAGATTTTTTATTGTTAAGTAAGCTTAAGTTAGCTTAAGTTAGTTAAGTTAACTTAAAAGTTAAGTTAGGCGTAAAATATTGTCACTTGTCCAAAACGTGTTTACCGGACTCATATGGTAATCCTGCATTCGACTTTGTCTCGCACGGGACACGGGAATGACTACACTCTAAACACAGTATATAATACAGTAGAACCTCTCTAATTTGAACCTTGATAATTCAAAACCCTCTATAATTAGTATTGTTTGTCTGTTACCCTGTCAGAAAACCTCTAAAATTCAAAAATTAATATACCGATAATTCAAAGTGATTTCTTTTTATTATTGCAGCCTCTACAATTCAAATTTGTACATCTTGAGCCTCTACAATTTGAATTTTGTTGGCATAAATCCATAGACATAGCTACTTACATAGCTTACATACACTTACTTACATAGCTTTTTTTTTGGTGAGTCGGTGGCTCAGTTGGTAGCGTCACGGACTTTGGGCCCAAGGCAGAAGTGTCGTGTGTTCGGATCCTGGTCACTGCCACAAACTTTTGTACAGTTCACCTTTGTACTGTACCGGCTCACCCCTTGCTTTGCTGGATACGTTCCACGCACAGATCTGTAGTCTATGTGGACGGGCA